CCTTAAATTTTGCATATTTATATCAAAATTAAATAGTAATGTCATCCTCTTCATACCAACACACTCAAACACAGTTACGCACTTTTCAATCTATGTCCCTTGTCCATATGCTTCAATATACAGATTTGCATCTATTCTCAAGTTATATTTAGTTCGCAGATTTCTGTTAGTTAAACCACGTAGAATTAAGGGTAGATAATAAACGAAACACCAATAATCTTTTCAGCAATTGCTGCTTTGCGCCACGCAAAGTCTATTCTCGTGCGAAACCAACACGCCGAGCATAAACAGTACAGCATCTGATGATCAAATCGCATTATCCAATATACAGGCATCCCAAGAAGAGAAGTATAGAGAGCATAAGGAATGCTACAAGGAGCACAAGGACCATAAGGGACTCCCTACGTTTACCCTGTTGCAAGGATGGCAGCTCTTAGCGTTAGCAGTCAGCCTATTTGTGCCCAAATCGTCCCGGTTGCTTTGGTTTTTAAAACTACATCTGCAGAGAAATGCTGACAATAGAACCGAATGTGGAAAATATGCTGCCTATTGTGAACGAGCCTTAGAAAGGACGATATCAGCAGGTATGTTCCAAGTAGCATTTTGTGTGGAAAAAATTACGACCGGAAAATTGGAATTTAATTTAATAGTAATTTAACATCAGCGTTGCAATGCACACAAAACATCCGATAAAAAATAGAATAAGTCTTAGGCTTTAGCGCTTTTGCTTGACCAACTCCAATCAACTGCACTAGATTTTATCAGTTAATGTAAAAAGACCGAAAAATATAATTGAACTATTTGAAATTACTGAACAGTTTCTACAATATCAGATAAATCGAGAGTGTCTTACACACATTTTGCGGATGTCGAACCCAATTACTTAAGAAATCACATTCATGTTAATTCATTATCCAGTTGCTTCGCCGTTTATTGAAGCCTGAACATTCGGGTACTGAAAACTCATTTTGTTAAACAAATATAATAGATAAAATAAACCAAATTTAAAAAACATCCTAATTTTTTTGCTTGTATCAAAAGTCTTGTCTTAAAACAAGATTTCAACAAAATGAAGCAATTTCGAAAAATTCTGGCTAAATCCCGGATGAAATTTTACATTGGACTTGCAGCCACAAAGAGCGAGAAGTCTCCAACTATTTTTGGCTATGAGAAACTTGCTTGCTTAATAGGCGCTTCTACTTACATCAAACCTCCATGAAGACACGAAGCAGATTTCAGAAAATCTCCCAAAAATATATGGTAATAAGAAACTTTCAGGGTTTTATAATCCACTTCTACTACTCTAACTTTTTGGGGGAAATTTGGGGAAATTTGGCAAATTTGAAAAAAATCTTTCAAAGATTCTTGATGATAGCACAAAAGAGAAACTTTCAGGGCCTCTTTAACTGACATGCTACCACAAAATACTGCTTTGCATAAGTCTACATTTCGTTCGGCTTACCAGAAAAAAATTGCCTCAGCAACGCTTACTTGAATCAAATACCAAATTGCGCTTGGACAAAAATGAGGCAGGTTTTAAAATTTCCATCAAATCTCGAATGATCGTGCAACCCTTAAGAATTGTATATTAGACTTTCCAGTCTACTAAATTCAAAAATGTCCAAGTCTCTAGCTCTTCAGGTGGTAACGAAGTTAGTTGTTTACTATGCGCTTATTTGCATTCGTAAGCTTCCAAGTGCGATATGAAAAGAAACATAGTTAAGGTATGGGCGCAGTCAAAATATTAAAATACTCAATTCTTTATCATCGTGACTGTGCCATCATTTGGATTTTTTTTGGATGAATTGGATGATCTTTGAACAATACTTTCGTCCCACTTATTGGAAAATATGTGTCAAACAAGTGCTATTTGCTAAAGAAAAACCCTACTCAGACTATCCAAAAACCTAACATAAAGAATAACTTATAAATTAGTATTTATTAATTAATGTTTATTAATTTTCAGGTGGCCGAGAACTAAAACCAAGTCGCATGGAAGTGCTCAGCATTCTTCTAAAAAATCCCCAACACCATTCGCTGCCACACTCGATGCCTGTTCATTTGCTCAATGGTACCTACCACATAACAAGTTTTGATGGTTCTACAACGATTAAAGAGTTCCAAGATACGCTGGCTCATGAGATTGGATGTCGCATGAATAACGGTTTTGCCCTATTTAGTGATGATCCTATTGAGAAGGACTTGGAGCACACTTTGGACCCGAGTGCGAAGCTTTGCGATCTGATATCGAAATGGGAAATCGCATTGAGGGAAAAGGGTTTAGGAAAGTTCGAAAACAGCAAAGTGATCCGGTTAACTTACAAAAGCAGATTGTGGTGGAAAAACAGCTCTCGACTGGAAACAGATAAAGAAAGATTGCTTTTATGCTATCAGGTTAATAAGCAAGTGGTAGCTGGCCGATTCCCTCTAAGCAGAGAACTGGCTTTAGAGCTGGCCTCTTTAATGGCTCAACTGGATACAGGGGACTGTCCACTTGGATCTGGAAAAGCCGTTAGTGCTGGCAACACATTGACCAGTCAAGCAACAGTAGCGAATATCAAGTCAAGTCCAAAATCAGTAGTAAATGGCGCTTTCAGCCCTCCGAGCCTACAAAATTCGTCCACTCTTAGTGCTCTAAATAATGTCCATGGAATTTTAACGGCACATTCCAATCAAGCACTTAATGCCATTGATAAATTTTATCCATACCGCTACCGGGACCAGTTAAATCAGGAGGGTTTGTCGGAACTTCAAGCCAAATTACTAGCTAAATGGAGGGCATTGAAGGGAAGAACCCAATTAGATTGCGTCAGGATTTATTTAACGTGTACACGAAAATGGCCTTTCTTTGGAGCAACACTATTTCAGGTACCTGATAATTACATTCTATTTTTTTTTATGCATTACAGTTTTGAACCTGTAATTAATGGTTTAGCAAACATTGAACTGCAAAATTTAAATAATCATGTACATGATCATTTAAGACATTGTAAGTTTGACGAAAACTTACTACTACACTTAACTGCAACGTCGGCAAATTTGTCAGCATTTAAATATATGATGTGGTTAGTTACCTGAAACTTAGTTAAAATAAAATAAATAATAATTCTGATATAATTTAACCTGAGAAAAATTGAATATACTCAGCTGTATATCGCACGATAATTATTTTCGCTGAATTATACCACAAAATGTGTGTCTTACTCTTTTCTATGATTATGTCGTTTATATTTCTGCGGTTAATTTTTCCATAATACTATACACGTATATCCTGTTCTTAATGGTTATGGCGTTTTAAGGGTTTAAAAATAACATTTTTTAGTTTGCGATTAACATTTTTAATCTTTTGTGTATTTGGCTGTAAATTAACAGCCGTTTAGGGATCAAACTTTCGATAATCGTACCTACTTTTATGGCAAACTTATTTTTATTCCAAATTTGGATGAGTCAAATTAGACTTTTTTATTTTGCAGGAAATTTTACAAACAAAAATATTGTTAGGATCTTAATTAAATATAAATAATAAAAAGTCCGGAAACTTTTTGTTACGAAAGTAACAAAGGTAGTTAAAAGTTAAAAGTAAAAGGTGTTAAAACATTTATTTGAAAAAAAAACAACATTTGTTAACATATTCGACATGACTGTATACATATATATACACTGTATATATATATTATAATGAAATTCTGTATACTATATTGATAGATATCTGACGCACATCATCTTATGTGTAAACAATAATTCTAGTTTTATCAGGCAGGCGTTCAGAGGTATTTGTAAAAAAAAGTTGGTAAGTACGTCACAATTTCTCAAAACACTGTATTTTTTACACAAAATAAATCGTGCCACATTTATCTATCAATATATAACAAATTACATTTTAATGGACCCTTTCATTTCGTATATATTGATTAATTTAAATTTTGCGAATAAATCTGAATTTTCGTAACAAATCATTTTCGGACTGTTTCATTTCTCTATTTAGCAATCTTTTTGATCCCGGAATCTGCTGTAAAGTTTTGTACACTTCATTACAACACACTGTGTATATTTGGATATGAAAATTAGTATCTCTTAAGGGTAGGATCGCTTAAAGTTTCATCCGTAAACTGCCGTTAATTTAGAAACTACATAAACAAAAAATATATAAACGTTAATAGCAGAATAAAAAAAGATTATTGTTGAACTTTTAACACCCAATAACTGAATTAAAAATTGTGCTCAGATACAAAATATTTGAAACATAGACGAAACAAAAAAAATACCAAAATTGTAAAATATTGCATCTTTCTTTTACAAAAGTATTTGTCCATCCATCTTTATCCAAACATTTTAAATTTCCTCAATATAAAATTACATTATTGTTGTTATTATTATTACATGTTTTTCAATTAATTTTATAATTTTTTATTTGGGCAAGTAGGTCTCCAATTGCGAGCGTTGTTTAATATTATGCAGCATACCTTATTATTATTACTCACATTTTCGAATGCCATATTTTTGCTGTAAATTCGTTCATAATTATTCAAAATTACAAAACAATGTTAATTTGCTTCTTTGAAAGAACCAGCAACTTCTCGCACCATGGTAGACCTAAAAATAATGTAATTTTTTTCACTCTCAATTCATGTACTTTTGAAACTTAGGCAGACTTGCAAACATTTATAAAAATTCTTTATATTATCAGTAACCAAACCTTGCCATTATTTCTTGCTTACTGTTTAAAGTATGTTTTAGGCAAAACTCCGCCAACAGGACTCGCCGATGGTTTGGTTGGCAGTTAATGAAGAATCTATTACGGCTTTGGACCTGGCCACTATGCAACAACGACAAGGATACCCTTACACGAACGTGTTAACTTTTGGAGGTTGTCAAGAAGATTTTATGTTAGTCGTCACACAAAATGATCAACAGCCTTCGCAGAAACTAATATTCACCCTTAGCAAACCAAAGATTCTCGAACTTACGCTCTTAATTGCTGATTATATGAACTTGCTTATTAACAATCCCGGTACGCCATTGCTGGGAACTTTAAGTAGAGGTACCATGGTTTCAGTGAACCAATCAATCGTTAATCAGTCAATTATCAGCCAAACGTTGGCTAATCAGTCTCAGCCGGATATTCTTAAGTCTACTCCCGATCATGGAGTTCAGAGGTCCGAATCTAAGCGACGAACTCACGTTGACTCAGGCCTTGCGTGATACTCATTAGAACAGGTAGCTTGTAAGAGATTGTGAATATTCATAACGTGATAATTTTTTTTTCGAATAAGTTCTGATAGATTATTTCCTAAAATTTTCAAGCAGAATTTTCGTAAACTTTTAGATGGAAAATGTGGTTTGTTATAGGGAAAAGTTATGGGTGTCGAAGGAAACAAAAAGAAAAGTGTAGGTATGTGTATGTTAAAAGAATAGTCTGTTTGATAAAATCTTTAAATCGTTTTACATGAACGAGCAGCTGTAAGTGAAGATACAGGCTAATCGTTTACTTTGGTGGCTCTATGTCGTGTATGGATGTCTGTTTTAGGAATGTGAACATTTTTACGCGTACCTATTCGAAAAATATGCAAGTGGGATAATTACTTGCTGTTAGAAATAAAAAAAAAAGCGGAGGAATAATAATGGGGATAGAAGTCATTTATTTATTAACAATTAACCGGTTGCTTGCTCCCTCAAGCCTGTAACATTAGCCCCTAAATAGAAGCGGTTTAATTATTTTGCACAAATACACACAAATGGGAAAATCATTTATTTAGTCTCAGCCTTGCTCTAAAACTTATATTCCTAAACGTTGCCAAAGAACAATTGAAATATATTATTATTAGTAGTGACTTTGTAATTATCAGGTGTTATTGAACTGAAGAATATAACATCGAAAAGTTGACAATAAACTGTTCCCAAAAGTAAGTATTTATTTCACTAGCTGTATAAATACATTTTTTTTCTGTTTACAGTCACACAATGTATATAAGATCGTACAGTTTTAATTGTCAAAACAGAACTAGCGCTTTTAGCGAGGTTTAGAGAATATTTGCTAAAATTATTATTTTGATTGTGAAAATTTTACTGAAAATGTAACAATTTTTGCAAGTTTAATAAATTTGTAATGAAACGTTGTATTAAAACAGAACGTTTTGTTGAATGTGAATGAAGCATGAAAAAATATAAAAATCTGTAAAAATTAATGGATATACATTTTTTAAGTTTTGATTCCTTATTAATAGAAACTACATTATTCATAAGCAATTTACGTTTCAGCAAACAACAACTAAAATAGTTACACAAATGTTTTACTAAAACCCGAAAAACTACACTTTTAGTTCAGGAAAAAAACCTGAATTACACCATCAATTCGAACGTTTCTTATTATTATTATACAAGAGTGTAGACATTTGTTCGTAATCTATAATTCTTTATTACTAAAACTGGGCCACCCTATATAAGCCACCTTATATATAATATAAGTATCAATATATGCAAAAAAAATTAATTCCATTGAGTTGTAAACAGCTAACTCAACAAAATCTCCAAACGTTTCATTCTGAATTTACTATTCGAAAAAGTATTTCGCTTATACAATTAAGTTGAAGAAAATAGTCGGAGTAAAAAAAGGTCATATTTGCTTTGTTATTATTGCCTCGTGCTAGTATTAACACAGTTTCATAGATTTAACGTTACCTTGATTGAACTACTTAATTACTTGTAATTTTTTATGTTCTTTGAAGAATTTCCTTGGCGATTTATGTACAACCAAATTTAAAATATTTATTTTTGCTACGTTCAAGTTACTTCTTCTATTTTTCAAATGTTTTACCATCTAAATTTTATATAATTGCTACGACTTTTTATTAAATAAAAAACGCATTATTGGTTTACAACACTATCATAGTAAGAGAGCCGCAAGATGACTAGTAAATATGGATTATTATGCTATCTCAATTTATGAATTTCAATCTACCACTTGAATTCGTTTTTCCCCACTTGCATATTATTCAATCGACAAAATTTGGTTTCAACAAAATGATTTAGAAGTAGCATTTCATTGCATTCAAACAGTATCTGTTCAAAACAATGAAAAACCGAAGAAAAAATTTACGACGCAGATTTAGTTTCCATTTGTTCGTTTTAGATATTTTCAGAAAACCGATGTGTTCATAAATGTTGAATCTTAACAGTTACAAATTTACAAGGTCGCATACTGGGCATTGCAAGGGAACTAAATCTATCTGATTTTTTAACTAAAAATTAAAAATTGCTATAGTTTCAAATTATAAACCCAGTAGTATTTTTAAAGTAGTTCGAGAGTATTACCCAGGACCAAAGAATAACAGAGTTGTTCAATTTTATATATTTTAACTTTATCGACGAATTCTAGAACTTTTATTTAAAAAAACACCCCTTATTAATGTAAATGTATTAATTAACTTTAATTTTAATGTATTTCTCTTGTAATTTAATATACCCATAGTAACTAAATGCAATTTCGTAACAAGCTGATATTTGCCTAATATTGTGATTGTTTTATTACTTTATATTTACCTAGTGGTACTACCAGACATAGCTAGTTTATATTTATGAATCTACTTACTTATAGTATATAATTAATATTGTAAATATACTTACATGTAGACATAGCGATTTAATAGCGTTCGAATAGAAATGTATAAATGAGAGGAGAATTAAATTGTATCCGTTTTAGGGACAGAACGAGCAAATAGTAGATAATAAACGTATTGGGATGCCAACCATATATTATTTGTGTGTATGTGTAGTAAACGTGTAATATGCATTTATTCAACTGTGACTTCCAAGTTTGCAAACGACATGTTTTATAACTAACATTACCAAAATCTCTGCCTACATCATTTTTTATATTGATGGGAAAATGATGCAAGAAACATTAGATTTTATTTTTGTTTTAAATATTTTTCCAATTGAGCATGTAAAAGGCAAATGTTTAGAGCGTTGCCATGATTTTCTATTAGACTAATCTAACAGTTATATGATTTTGTATACTTTTTAAAATAATAAAATATAGACGATTCCGAAATTATTAAAATTAAATCTCGTTTAAAAATTAGTTTAAAAAAGTGAAAATAAA